TAGAGTCCCAAAAATGAATCAATAACTTTTTGCGCGGATACCCGACAACAGTTTTGATATCGATACATTTGGCTGAATGGCAGTGATTCCTTTGTCCATTGACTTATCAAAAATTAACTAAAATAATGACATTTGACTTCAATATTTGTATCTTTCTGACGTTATACCAATTGGCGCGCATTTTTGATAGCGGGTTCATTTACGTACTCTTTTGGAAGTGGATTATTTAGAAATATTTTGGTGTATTCGTTAAACAAACAATATTTTCTAAAGGTAAGGCTCTTATTTATTAATTTGCTAGTACTTTTGTCTATATTCCGTAACTATCATGTGTATGGAGGGCTTATTTCGTGTTGATGCAAAAATGGGACAACATGCACTAATGGTAATAATTACGACATGTATTTAGTACTATGCTTCCTTTATTGGTTTGTTGGTTTTGTTTTGGTGTGGTATGCATGTGGTTTATAATTTTGTTATAGATATGTCATACTAACTAAAGAATTTGTATGTCTATTTTGCATAGTGTACCAAAAATGAATCATTAATATTTTTCAATAAAAACCCTATAAGATATGACTTATAATTTTTTTTAATATTTTTCCCGATTTCCACTCATTTGAAAAATTATAACCCTATTTTTTAAATAAAATTCATTAATTCATGCATTTAAGGGTTAAAAAAAAAAGATAAGAAGCCAGGCAAAACATAATTAGACTAACAAAATCGAGTTCCACATTGTCCCAAAGTGGTTCGCAGAATTTCGAAATTGGAATGGCGCATAGTGAGACGTTCGAGCTAATAGAAGCGATTCATGCTCGCGCATCGAAGTCTCCGGTGCAGCTCCGACTCGCTAATATGGACAAGCGCGTTAACCTAATGAAAACGCGGAAACGGAAGCGGGGATGCCAAGACTGGAAACAGCAGAAGATCGCTGTCGTGTTCGAAATCGCCGGGATAAGGCCGGCCGGGGGGAACTGCGAAACAGATTTTCCTAGTTGCTTCTTGTTTCCTCGTGAAAATCCTCGAGGCCGTTACGCCGATAACGATGAGCCCGGTTAGGAAGGGCCGTTACCACCACGTGCTGCCATAATATCGGGCAAAAGTTTGCCTGGCCAGCCGGAGAAAATAATTTGATACGACTCGCCTTGTTGCGACTTGAACGCAGGTGGAACGAGCAAGCAATTGCTGGCCCTTCGGAGAACAATTACGATGACGTCCTCGTGGCTCACGGCAATTAAGCCGGGCACGACTTGCAGTTGCCAAACTATTCATTGCCTAGTGCGTTCGTAGCCTCCAGTTACTGCACGGGGTCATCCACGATTGTAAAGTTATATTCTTTTCTTGTTGTATGATTAATCTAATTGCGAGCAGTTGCGAGGAGATTTGACAGTCAACTAGAATACTTCGAGAAATATGTCTAATACAGTGTTAATGATGTTAATTTACAACCATGTCCGTTAACCCTTTCGATGCAGAATAAAATGAAAAAATATAATAGAAGAAATACTATAATACTTTTTATATTATTCTTAAGGCATTATGTTATATTCATGTTGTATGAATGACGTTCAGATTATGTTACTTGTACTTACATTATATTTATTTATTATACATTATTATTATATGTTATTATATTTATATTGTAAATCAAATAAAGATCATGGTAGATGCAATTTTGTATAAATGAATCGTGGCTCTCGCCCGATCATGCACGGACTACACATTGAACAAATTAATTGTTTGGCTTGTATCTTTGAAGTTATTTCTTCTGCACACATTTCTGTTGTATTCTATTGAATTTTTTTTTTATTATATTTGTTGGACATCACATTCAATTCGCAAATAAAATTTTCGCTGTCAATTTGATTTTTTGATGCAATGAATAGTTCAGTGAACGTATTATAACTTTGTAAAATCAGGATTACCTCGAGAAAGATATGAAATGTCACACAGTTTTTCTTGTTTTTTTCGAGTACGAATTACGGTGTAGTAGTGTACACAAATGACCCTGAAATTACGTAATCTGATAATACTAATCTGCTTCCAAATCGATAAGATAGTTGAGACAAAAATGCTTTACATATTTTTCATCGAAGAACATCTTAAAAAATATGTTGGTCAAAATTGACAAATAACGTGATAAATGATCTTAACTATATTCAGTTAAATTTTTATCAGAAAAATCCGTCGTTCGAGTGTTGAAATGAAAACTGTGAAACTGATTGTTTTAACCGTCACGATAGATTTAGCGTTAAGTATTGATAACAAGAAACCGAAATTTAATTCCGATTTAAAAGAATGGAATAGCATTCATAGTTAACAGGCCATTGCTACTGGAAACCTCCGTCACAGAGTTGGACGAAACTTTATTGGGATCGATATTCGATCGAATAAAAATTTCTCTAGATAAAAGTTTATTCGAATAAGCTTTCGATCGAATAAGAATTTATTCGTACAGGGAGTCATACGGAAAGTAATTGATTTGTATAAAAATGATAAAATATAAAGTATTTTTTCATAGTTGAGCGATTTATTTCTACCATATTCCTTTTTCGAATTATTCGAATAAATTGAATAATTTATGACGAATAATGAATTATTTGAATAAAATATTCGACCGAAAGGAATTCATTCGGACAATTATCTTCCATAAATATTAATTCGAAACAATCCGAATAATGTCCAACTCTGCTCCACTATAAGTCAGACATGTCAAAGTATGGCATGAGATTAAGAGAAGAAATAAACGTCAACTTAAAAACGTCGACGGAAAAATCTTCACAAAGTAGAAGTTAGGAAATTGTCACTATATTATGGATCTTCATATATTTATAATATAAACGTGCATACCAATGAAATTTAATTGTACTACTATTCCGTGTCATCCACAAGTAACTTTCTAGTCATCATAAGAAATGATTCCTTCTTCTTCGGATATTAAGAAAATGATTACTGAAAACGAGAATTTGCGTAAGGATCTGCACTCTAATTATTAAGTACTGAAAAACAGACCGTCGCCCGACCATCGAATATTTAACCGGAGCGTTTCACCGAGTTTCAAAATGGAAGAAGAACAGAGGGCCGCCTGTTTGTTAGCAAGTTCTCCGGACCTGAAAGGTCGCAGGAGTGGATAAATCTTTTTGTTCGTCCGCCGGCGCGATGCGAGTGACGTAATATCATTTAGAATTTATATTACCGAGTTCATCCTGCAGCCGCGCTCTTCACCGCTTCCGTCGTTTTCCTCGTCCTCCTGCAGTCCTCTGTATCTTGCGAGCTGATGCAGGGCGAAAGGAAGGATGGAAGAGCCGCGAAATTACGTTAAACCCTCGCGAGATAGGGCACTCTGGGAACCTACAACTTCCATTCTACCCAAGAAAAAGCGAAATGTGCCCGGTTCTCTCGATAAAACAACTGACGTGCTACTGATTAAAGAATACCGACCAGGTCACTTACCACCTACGTAGCATCTCGATAACATCTGTTATTCTGTATTCATTATCGTCTTTTCGATTTTTGACCCCAACACTGCTCGGATTTCCCAGATGGTTGTTTACGTAATGCTTCGATGCAATGAAAACTGTGAGATTACCGAACTGCCAAATTAATCTAATCGAATCCATGCGAAGTCAGTATATAAGCCGGACCGCGAGGACTAGCAAGCATCAAACAATCGAGTTCACTCACAGCAGCAACAAGGTAAGTGAATACTGAATTGGATCGGTTTTCGAAAACTGGCAGACACTGCCTATTGACTTTAACACAGTCATTTGTGCTCTCGACTTGAAACATTCTAAATTAGTCAGAAGTTACGCTTGACATTCGATTTCTCTTTCATCTTCGAAAATTACTTCGCAAAAATTATCGAATCTATTTAAAAAGTTACGATTCAGAGTAAAATAATTATGTTTGAGCGCGCCACGGATACAAACTAATTACCATAAACTCGCAAAGTCTCGATTCGTCAGGCTGTCTAGAAGCAACCGCTTTGAACAGCTTTTACATTCATTCCATTAGTGCCGGGGATCACTTTCATCTTCGATCAAATAATTTAATCGTCCTCTAAACTTTTGCCGTGCATCAAATATTCATCTCCCATCCCAACCACGGGCCAGGCCCGCGAAATTGCAGTCGAGTTTCGCTTTCTCCCGAGTGAGTTTCGAGCTAAATGCCACTTATGGCACGCAAATCGAGTTCGTGATCTACCTGGATTTGTCTTAAAGGGCGAAGCTTCTACTTTCATCTTCGGAAAGAGTTTTTTATCAAAAGAATTGTTGAGTTAAAATATTCGATAGAGACATAGGCGATTCAATTCTCTAAAAATTTCGATTAGTTTCTCCAAGTTTAGATAAATTTGTCGCGACTTAAACCACCATGTATTTATAAACTGATCTCTCTCTCTCCCTTGCAACAAATCCAAAAACATTGATCTATCTAAAGAACAGTCTGAAATTTTTTTTGACAGTGGAGACCGCCGATCAATTTTACCGTTCACTTAAGTTTTCGTTTGATTTCTACTTCGCAGATGAAATTCATAGTCGCAGCTTTGGCCATCCTGGCCGTGTCCAGCCCCATCAATGCCTACAAGCTTCCGCGAGTGGGTACTGGCGTTCTCGCCGACACCCTGCAGGACTTCATGGACCTCATCCCTGTAGACAAAATCATGTCGATCGTCATGCAATACCTGGCTGAAGACAAGGAATTCGGTACGCTGGTCACCTTCTTGAAAGGACCCGAATTCAAAGCTCTGATCCACGACGCTGAGTCTTTGCCCGAGGTCGTCGACCTCCTGAACTACGGACAGAAGAACGGTCTTGACGTCTACCAGATCGTGAACAAGATAAACAACTTCATCGGCCTGCCAGCCCTGACGCCACCCAACACCTTCGGAACCATGAAGATCACCGGAGGAATCCGCGGCTTCTTGGACGATGTTGAAGCTCTGATCCCTGTTGACAAGATCAAGGAGCTCTACCACAAGAAGATGGCCACCTCCAAGGTGTTCGTCGACTTCATGGCGAAACTCAGGTCCCCGCAGGCACAGACGATCGCCAACGCTATCGCCGCCAACCCCAACCTGAAGGTCCTCCTCGTGAAGGCCAAGAAAGTCGGCGTCGACACCGGGGCTGTCATCCAGTTCTTGGAGACGTTCCTTGGCATCAAGATCAACATCACTGTTTAAGCAGTGTTGATATAATAGTTGTCTCAAATGGTTTTCTACGATTTTCTACGATTTTCTGTAAATTCATAATGTTTGTAATTTCGTACAATAAATCTGCATATTTCTAATCTGGTTCCGATTGATTGTTCTGGTAATATGTAATAGACGTATCTTATCGGATAAAGCTGATAAGTCCAGATGATACTCGGGAAGAGGTGCTGTACAAGCGTTCCATAGAATGTGGTAGAAGCTGATTACTTATTGTTTCTCACCATTTTTATTTCGTTGTATATTAATTAAACCTTGCTCCAAGCGTTCCATAGAACGTGGTAGAAGCTGATTACTTATTGTTTCTCACCATTTTTATTTCGTTGTATATTAATTAAACCTTGCTCCAAGCGTTCCATAGAACGTGGTAGAAGCTGATTACTTATTGTTTCTCACCATTTTTATTTCGTTGTATATTAATTAAACCTTGCTCCAAGCGTTCCATAGAACGTGGTAGAAGCTGATTACTTATTGTTTCTCACCATTTTTATTTCGTTGTATATTAATTAAACTTTGCTCCTGGTCAAGAATCATTAGACAAAAGGATATAGCATCGACTACGTCATAACAACTAATCTTTTTTTAATTTACGAAAAGGAGGGAAAAGTGGTAAATAAATGTTTGATCAGAAAATATAATATGAAGGTTTTATACAGTTAGAATAATTTAATTAAGAAAGTAAATACAGGTTTTTCAACAGAAAGGTTGGAATTTATTATTAGACTTATTATTTAACTCTCATCTCTGTTCCGCATTTCAACAACTTAATTTGTTCTTTGGTGTCAAATTATTATAGTGACAGAAAATCAATGTTATGAATAGATTAATCTTTAGAACTTCACCCGTTAGCTTGTAACTAATTGAACGAACTAAATTATAAATAGATGGAATTTATTTAAAACATTAGGGACTGTATGAAGCCTACAGGAGAACATAAAGAGTAATATTAATTTTAACATTTGATAAACACGCCTTAATTTTAACATTGCACACACCTTAACAAATTATAACCTAATATCGTTATACTTACAGAAAGGATTACTTATTCTGAGTAATTTAATATTTAGATCACAAGCAATACTATTAATAAGGTAGGGAGGATTAGAATTAGGTGAAATTATATAAATATTATTTTAATTAAATAATCATTTCATCTCTGCCATTTTTATACACTATGGACAGTACCATAATATATCCCAGTCTTGCCAGAGACATGATATACAGGGTGTCCCAAAATTATGGTATTTCCGGGAAATAAGAGGTTCTTGAGATCATTTGAAGCCCAGATCCGCTGATTGGCTCGGCTGCCTTGCGCCAACCGAGCTCGTCTTTGATTGGTCAATGTTTTTCGTTAATAACTCGTAAACAAAGCCTCGTAGAACATTTTCGCTAAAGAAAAAGTTGCTCACAGTAAACTGTGTACCAAGGTTTTTTTATTTTCATAAAACAATCTAGAGTCTAGAGTATTGCATACTTTTGTAGGAGAATTGATTCTGTAAAGATTTACACAGAATCTGCTTCACAAATCGCTCCACATTTCTGATTAAAATTTTTCTTTCAAAATCAATGAATGCGATTTTATATTTCTCTTATGGTTCAACTGATCTACCATTTCAAAATTCCAAAAATAATGAAACTATCTCCCTCTGCGCATTGAAATGGGACCAAGATAGTAGGTATTGAAAGTAATTAAGACATATTTTTTAATTATTCTTACATGTTTACTCTTTTACATTCTACAGCACGTATTTTTTTGTAATAAATATATGGAATTAACAGTTTATTTGTCACTTTTATCACTGTCTAACTTTCGCAACCCTTTTGATCCTCGTAAAAATTAATTTTTTAATTATTGAATCATCAGGAAAATATTTTTCGAAATTCAATCTGCGGTTATTCATTTGTATTTCTTCATGTGCATATTTAATATTAGGTAGAAATAAGTTCTTCTCGATCTTTTTGGTAAAATTCTAGATCTATTTAGAAATAGATGTAAAAAGTTAATGGTTGGTCAATATTCTTTTCATGCTTTTCTTTACGTTAAGTTAAAAATTATCGATGTTTTACCAATCAATAAAAATTTGACTAATGTTACTTTCATTTCCCATTATTGTCCTATTTAGAATATTGCGATAACAAGAAGTTAAATTTCACGAATTCAGACTATTCAAATAGAAAATGTGCAATTAATATTCATTGCAGAAATTAAAAATTAAAATATTCCATTCTTCTACTTTCAAACTTTCGGTTTGAAATGACGGTTTTAATTAATTAACATAGCGACTACAAATTTTCCGTGGTACATTTTTAGACATCGGATGAGTAAACTGTCTCGTCGTTCTGAAAAAAACATGTGTGCTAATTAATTTTCCAATCGATAGAATATCGGATACGGTATCACTGTCGGAGACCTAATTTAACTTCATACTAACGATAAGAAATTAAATGTTCGATTTGGTTGTGCCCACGAATATCATTATTACTGATTATATCGATAAATAATAAAACAGATTCGTTTAAAGATACCGGGGAGAAATCAATGTTTTTATGGAGAAGTCACAATAGAAAACTATTTTATAGCTTCCCGTTGTTGTACATTTCTCTCATTTGTTACATATCTGCGCGATCATGTTGGCTACCGAATAGAATTGTCATAGAGCTGACCAAAAATGTCCGCAATTTATTTGTCGATTTAGAGACAGCAAAGACCATATATTTTTCCAGTGAAAACCCGCAGCGCTAAATATTTGTTCAGCTATCAACTATACTACACTTTTCACACGTTCCGATCGATATCAGAATCATCTCAGCGAAGACAAGGATTGCAATTAGTTCGGCTCTTCGTTGCGAACATCTTTATTAAATCAGCTTCATCTTCGCAAAACTGTATAAATAAATGAAAATTCTACTAGAATATGCAAACTCGAATCGAACGAATGAGATTTGATCTGATCTTTGTTAATCGACCGAACTGTAAGCCGACTAAGCTTGTTATTTTAATACTTCACCAATGCGTCTAACTGTGAAACTGATAATACTTGTAGGTATCTATCTAACCGAGTGCATATTTCAAATCTTATCGCCCTTCCGAATGGAGATGTCATCGGCGTCAGCTGGTTTTCTCCCGTATTTGATATCGTACAGTATATAAATCACCGGCAACTCATTCGGAACCACATTAGTAGCATCAACCGGAGCAGTCAAGGTAAGTCAAAGCAACCCGAACTTGCAATACTTCTTCTGGCTTAACTGTCAAAGATCATTTATTTATTCATTTCTCATCTAACTGTTTTATATTTCTTTCTCTGAACTCTGAAATTCACACTGACTTCAATTGTCAAGACTATGTATTTCCAATTTACTCAATTATTTCTAATTTACTCAATTAATGATTCTTACTCATTAATTCATTTATACTTGCTCGAAACTGTTTTATATTTATTTTCTTCGTGATCACTGTTGTCGTATTAAAACGTTTACATTCGTTAATTTCTTCTATTTCTATTTATTTTTCCTTTATTCATCCATTTACATTTAATTGAAACTGTTTTCTATTTCCTTCTCTTATCGACGCTAATGTCAAAAATGTTGAAACTTAAAATACACATCGTCCTTAAGAAAGTGTTCGAAATAGTTAAGCTGCACCGGGAAAGTATGATTTAAATGCACAAGAGAAAGAGAGAAAATAGCGTTGTTTCGTGTCGAAAATGAATAAAAAAGAGAATTGAATCTATCCAAAGCTTTCGTTAGAACAAAACTTTCGTTTCGTCAATCAATCGACTACCAAAGTCACATGCAAAATTCTATAAAAAGTCTCCCAATATTTTGAGTGACAAATCCAAAATTGTAATTCACAGATGAGAATCCAGCTGGCAGCCCTCACCGCTTTTCTCGCGCTCGCCTCGAGCTGCAGCGCGCTGCCTTCTTTCGGGGAGGGTCCGCTCTACGATGACGTGATGTACTTCACGAACATGGTACCGCTGAAGAAGATCACAACTATCGCGGTGAAGTACGCCGCGGAGGACCGCGAGTTCCAAGAGCTGATAAAGTACGTGAAATCCAACGATTTTAAGCAGATGGTAGTGGAGGTCGAAGCCATCCCAGAGTACCACGTCTTCGTGAAATACATGCAAGATAACGGTGTCTACCTGGCTGACCTGACGAACAGGTTGAACAAACTGCTGGAAATACCGGCCTTCGTTCCGATGGACGTGTTCGCGACGAACGGTCTCAAGGGCTTCTACGACGAGATCAAGGCTGAGGTAAACTACGACCTGTTCATCCACGGCTACGTCTACAAAATGAGGACTTCCGCGGCATTCCGTGGTTTCGTCGCTCACCTGAAGTCCGGCAATCACCAGAAGTTCATCAACGCTCTGTACGCGAACCAGAAATACTTGAACTTCCGCAACATGATCCAGAGCAAAGGCATCGACGTCGCCCTGATCGAGGATGTCATCTACACCGTACTGGGCATCGAATTCCCCAACCTTAAATTCGTCGTAGCCGTCCCGTTCTCCAACCCTCAACTCGGCCAGGACGTCAGAGACTTCATCGCTTTGTTGGACATGAACAAGATCATGAATATCGTGGCGTCCTACTTGGACGACGACCAGGTTCGGACCGCCATGACGTACATGTACAGCGATGAGTTCCACGCGCTCGTCCGCACTGTAGAAGCAATGAAGGAGTACCAAGGGTTCGTCCTTTACCTCGAAGACGCTGGACTCGACATGTTCGGCTTTCTGCAGCAGATTCACCAGATCTTCGGCATGGAGGACTACGTCCCGCCCAAGCCTCAACTCTACTTCGGTGCCACCGTCTTCGTCAACAAGGGTGGGATCAAGAAATTGGTCAACGACGTGATCGCTGTACTGCCCCTCGACAAGATCAAGGCTCTCTACTACGAGAAAATGGCCACCTCCGAGGCATTCAGGAACTTCATGGCGAAGGTCCGATCCGACGACTTCAAACATATCGTGAACCTAATGTACAACACGCCTATCTTCCTCGAGATGAGGGCCAAGATCATCGCCGCTGGAATCGATCTTGAACCGCTCAAGGAACTCGTCCAGAAGGTCATCGGTTACGACCTCCCTAATGTGCCCTACTACTACTTATACTAACGACCCAATCTGGATTCTGTCTCGCGATTTGAATCCGGCGGCTGCTCCATACCACTGTGAAATTACTTTTTGAAATTGCGTAGAGTATTTAATAAATTTGCGGCGCATATAGTAGTCCTTTATCTTATTGTACCTGTAGTACCTGCTTGTCACTTGACAAGCCTAATCGTTGAGATCACAATGGGCGATGTTCGCCTTGCTGTAACTTTGTCAAAAATGGATGGAGGGAGATCAAACTGGGCTCATCTTGAAGGGTGAAGCCTCTGGTTTTAACATCTTGCGTTGCTCTTTGTTAGAGGATCATTTTGTACTAATAAATGAGCGGCAAAGTCAAGATGATTTCTTTTCTTGAACATTTTTTTTTTCTGTCGATTCTCCATGACAAAGATTGCGGTGTTTTCAAGCTCATTTTATGGAAGAACGTAACAATTAATGTGAAGATAGAAAACACGGTGTAATTTTATTTGTTGGCTTTAATAAATGATTCTAATACACGCGCTGGTTTATATTCAGTCCTAACAAATACAGGTACAGTAATGTATCTCTAATTTATGCTCAGATTGTCCACAAAAATGGACAATTTAGGGAGAGGAGATACGATTATTCGATCCTTGCGGTTCATATTTATAGTCACGAATTGTCAAGAACTATAAAAACGAGCCGCAAGACTCGAATAATCGTATCTCTTCTTACAAAATTGTCCATTTTTTTGCACAATCTGAGCGTCAGTTAGGGAGACATTACTGTATCCTTTAACCCTTTCGCTCCGAACGCTGGATGGATCCGGCACCCACGTGGTGGCCCTCGGGAGACGAACGCCGGATACATCCGGCATGAATGATGTGACTCACAGCGACATAGGAAAGCTGGCAACATCGTGATTTAGTTTTCGGGTAGCAGCACTTCTTGTGATCGATGCGTAAATCTTTTGACGAAACGAATAAGCCACACACGATACGAATTATATATATATATATATATTTGTTCTACCTGCATTTTTTCATTACTGTTAAGTGCCATAAAGGAGTAGAAAATCGAGAACACTGCAAACTTTAGGATAAAGAATTTTAGAGAAGCTTTGTATTGGTACGCCCGCCTGCTGTGTAAAAGTATCCTCATTTCTTACGAGTATTACAATTTACTCTTCATTTCAATAAAGTGTTCAATGTATATTATATATATCGTGTCAAGGTTATGTCATTATATATTATATATTGTGTTTTATTTTATTACTGTATATTATATATTATGTTCTATTTTAATACTGTATATTATACATTACTGTAATAATATTATATATTATTCTTTCACTATTCTTCATTGTTAACGAGGCTCTTTGTATCTATTAAATAAGTTTATATCTTTTATGTAGAAATTTTGAGTCTATTGTTTTAAAGAAAAATCCTTTCTCTTCCAAAATACATTGTGGTGGGCGGGGTAAATTGAATAACTTTTCTAAAATCGTCCTCGAAAAACCTCGTTTTAGAAATGCTGTTTAAATCTTCGTTAAACGTCTCAAAATTTCTATCTTCCTTCAATATTTTGCCATTCGTACGTAAACGTAACGCGAACTCGCACTAAATGTAGTAAACATTAAACAGCATTGAATGACCTTGAACGATTTTCAAAGACCGAAGTATATAGGTCAATAATTCGATCTTGAAATGCACTCTCTGCTCACACAACAAGGTATACAGTTCCTTTTAAAAAAGAAACAACAACAAAATCATCTTCATATCTTGGAAGCACGTCCATCTAGCAAAAATTTGCGACCATTGCAGAATGTCCCCCTTGAAACAGTGCAAGGTTCATTTGAAGCATTTTTTGAAACTAACTATACCTTAGGAGATAATTGAGCGCGTTACTTCAAACAAGACACCCTGTATTTGTCCACAACTAATAATAGCGTAGGAACGTTAAACCTTGAATCCTGCTCTTTCCGATGGCCCCATAAAATTGCAGTGACTGTAATTGTCCATCGAGTTAGCAGCAGGCTTCTTAGACTCGATTAACTCGTGCAACGAAGTATGGAGGGGTGAAAAGTTTGAAAGACTGCGAGGACAGCTCTTTTTGTTTTCTGTTGCGCAGCTATGGTAGCGGAGATCATGTCTCCGGCTTTCTTTTTCCTGTTATCTAGCTTCCCGGGTTCTCCTGCTCCTTCACCCTTCATCAAGTCTACCCCCAACTCCTCCACCATCCCCCTCCAATTTTTCTTGCCTCGTGTAAGACATTTCTCAGCGGGATTTCCCGCTTCCCTCGATCATTCGGCTTCCATTTATCGGCGTTACCCGAAGCTTCTTCTTATGACTTTCCATTACGAGGAACAGCGGCGATAGCACCTCCCGAGGCTTATTAAATTGTAACAATTTTAATTAGAGACGCGCCACGGCACCGGCTCGTCTCGTCCTCTCTTTGTTCCTCGTTCGGTCCTCCTGCTGCTGCGAATACGCGCCGGCTAAGACAGCCCTCTCCGATTTCCTTTTAAAAGTTAGCGCCACGTGCTCGAGCCCAGTCCTCTTTTATTTATCGAATGGCCGCGAGCACCACCGGCCATTCGACGCACGCGGCGCCCCTTTGCTTTCTCGTTTGATCGGCGAAACTTTCGACGCGTTAACGAAGCGCCGTGCCGCGCGGCGCCGCGCCGCGCTGGTCCCCAATGGCGCACCGAATTGATCACTATAGCCGGGGAAACGCTAAGCCCCGGCACCGCAACCCGCTTCGACGGCGAACTTGCCCTGTGATTCCCGAATCAACTTTTTCGAGCGGTCTTCGATTGATAATCGAATTTTTCTTGTTACCATGAACTCGATTGTTTGTTCGATGCTAAATTGGATGTCATAAAAAACCTGACTATAGCTGCGTTAACTCCTATCACAGATTGACCGTAATTCTGGACTTGCTCGGATGCTTGTTTTTTATTAATCTTTTGAGGAGTTCTCAGGAACATGTCTAAAATGCGTCAAGATTTTGATTTGTTTAGGATTGAGTGATCTGATTTTTACAAATTGCTAACGTTTACGCTGCCATAATTTCGAAAAGAATAATGTTGAAGCAATAAATCTAGCTTGATTTGGAAGGCATCCCATTTAAAATGATCCTTAAAACTTGAGATATGACATTTTTTGGATGTTTCATGGAATCCAAGTCAGGAACATGTTTCGGTCCTGTTCTAAAGTGTAAAGTCCTGTTTCTGTAGGTTATATTATTGTAAAAATGATTATTTTAGGCTATTTTATGACTATTTTAGACTATATTAAAAATAAAAAGTCGAACATTCAGGTTTATTCTTGTATGATTCCCTTTTACGAAATTATGATAGTTTACAGTAATTTGCTTGGTATGATTCATCAGCTATCATATTTATATTTGAATTTTAATAAGATAATGGTCCTTAAAGTAGGTTATCGATAATTTCGTATATACAGTAGCCCACAAAATTTGTAGTTCCTACAAATAAAATAACTTTTTCAAAACTGATCAAAACGATTTATTATTATTAATTAATATTAACAAATAAATAAATAAATTAATTAATACTATTATTAATTATTATTTTGCTATTATTTAAAATGAAAATAAAATATTAATCCTATAAACATTGAGCCTATAACAAAAATTTAAATAATGCCTTTTGTAGATCTCGATAACTTATATGCGTGTTGAAAATTTGATCGAAATTGGTTAACCCAGAGTCGAGCTGCAGACGTTGAATGATTTTAAAAACTGCAAATTTTTTACAGTTTTTGGTAAAAATCGTGATAAAACTGCAGTTTTTGCGATTTATTGTAATTTCGATTAAATTTTCAACATGCATAAGTTACCGAGATCGACGAAAGACATTTTTTAAATTTTCGTCGTCATAGGCTCGGATGAAGAAGTTATAAAACGAGAGATTTTTATTTTTTTGTCATTCCAAGTAATAACAAAATTAAGAAATAAAATCATTTCAGCCATTGTCTAGTAGATTAGTCCCTCTATCATTAAAAACAAAATCGGGTCATTTAGTATAATTTTAAAATAGTTGTTGCGTTTTCAAAGGTGTACGAACACTTTCATGGGTCACTGTATGTATGGGAATTATCGATAAGCTATCGATAATGTTTAGCAGAATTTATCGATGAGTTATCGATAATGTGATATATCAAAAAACCTAGATGATGTATCGATAATTGTCAAAACAATATATCGTTGATGTATCGATAACTTACAAAACAATATAATTGATAAACTATCGATAATTTTTGAAACAATGTATCGATAAACTATCGATAACTTACGAAACAATATATTGATAAACTATCGATAATTTTCAAAATGATATATCGATAGACTATCGATAAAATTCAAAACAATATATTGATATAATATCGATAATTATCGATAAAATATCGAAAATTATCGATAAATATCAAATAATATATCGTTAAAATATCGATAATTTTCGAAACAATGTATCGATAAACTATCGATAACTTTCAAAACAATGTATCGATATACTATCGATAACTTTCGAAACAATGTATCGATATACTATCGATAATTTTCGAAACAATATATCGATAAACTATCAATAACTTTCAAAACAATATATCGATATACTATCGATAATTTTCGAAACAATATATCGATAAACTATCAATAACTTTCAAAACAATATATCGATATACTATCGATAATTTTCGAAACAATATATCGATAAACTATCAATAACTTTCAAAACAATATATCGATATACTATCGATAATTTTCGAAACAATATATCGATAAACTATCGATAATCTTTTAAAGGACAAATCGATTTTATATGATGTGTCGATATATGTTCGATAACTTTTTAAGCGATATATCGATAAATTATGGATAATTTTCTTATCTTTACATCACTATCGACATAGATCAATTTCGATACGATTTATCGATATCATTCGATATTATGTATTAATAATATATCGATAATGTTTGTCACACCGTACCAACGTAGAGAAACTAAATTTCTCAACGCGTAATACACATGCTACATTGTAAAACGTCAAATGAAAAATACATTGTGTTGTGGCCAACATTGTTTTTAAGTAAACTAGTTATGCATACATGGCATTGTTTCATAAGATGCAGAGAAATCACAAAGAACAAACGCACTTAATATGACTGGTGTATATGTACCTCTGCTAATAAAAATTAACGAATCAACCATTGTACTTTGCTCCGGTATGTTCCAAGTAAAAGGAATAAAATCCATTAAAACGTCATGTGGATTACCGTTCTTCGTGAACAAGTTCGTCGCATTACTCGTTAAGTGAAACGTCCAAATTCTAGGAATGATAATGATTAGATACTTCGTAACGATCAAGCCCGATGTCGCCACTCAGGTGTCCATCGCAGCGCTCTCGACTCGCGAACACGTGTGGCTGATAATGACTCGTCGGAGATGGCCACGTCCGCAGTTAATTCGCAGTCAATTAAAATTTTATCTTCACGCGACAATAACGCTCAAACGATCACGGAAATTTCAATTAAAATTTTATCTACGCCTGGACAAAGACCGGCGCAACGCCCGCCGAAATTTCCATGACGCTCGGCTCAGTTCACCACTAACTTCAAAGTCAATCACGTCATGAATTCTTCGCCCGTTCAATGTCTCCTGCTTCGTCGTGAAAAGAATTTCTATGGACATCAGTAAAAATATTTGCAATTTATTGTCAATATACTTAGAGAACAATATAAGCGGTCCTTGTCGTTGACAAAGATCGAAGATCCACAGCTTATCGGTTATTGAAGAAATTTTAAATAGAATTTTCGGATTAAAACAATAGAGTTTGACGTTTATAGTCAATGCATAAATTTCGATGTCTAGAGTACTCGAGAATTAACGGCGGTTGCCGGAGAAAATATTGTTAACCACGGTGTTCTCTGAAATCGAGTACGCAATGTCTCTTGGAATCTAGCATAATCGAGGTACAGTAATCTCTCTTTTTAATTGACGCTCAGATTGTCCACAAAAATGGACAATTTGGGAAGAGAAGATACGATTAATTTGAGTCTTGACCCTCGTTTTTATAATCGTGGACCATTTATAACTATAAAAATAAACCGCAAGGCTCGAATAATCGTATCTCCTCTTCCCAAATTGTCCATTTCTCTGCGCAATCTGAGCGTCAGTTAGGGAGACATTACCGTAGCTTTCTACGTGAGCAGGTTCTGCGTCAGGTATAAATGTAACAGCCAAAGCAGCTCGCCGGCGAACCTAACTTCGAGGCCGCTCTCCTCCGCCCAGAAGTAATGATGATGCATCATCCTGTTCTTTTTTATCGCGTTGCACAGTTCCTCGAAGTCGTTCGACTTCAGCAGCTGCAGCAACCTGCGGAAGCTGCCGGAATACTTGGCCTTCTGTCGCAGCAGATCGTCCAGCTCGTTCAACGGTATGAGGCGCAATATTTGGTCGATCATCACTGTCAATCCACCGTCCGCCATGTCCCTATTGTTCCGGATGTACCGCGGCGCCATTTTCCAGCAGGTCTGCACTTTTTCGGACCAGTACGCGACGTCCAACCCATTTTTGGACAGGACAAGCGCGATACGGTGCACTTGGGGCATGTTCTGTAGCTCGCGAATTAAAAATCTCTTGTGGTCGTTGATGAAGCTGACGGTGTCACCGATCTGCTTGTCGTATTTCATGTAACGCTCGATGACTTCCTGGACGTCGTTCTGTGGCAGGAATCCAAGGATGTCCCACAGGTCTTCCTCCAAGGAGCTGTTGTCTTTTAACGGTGGCTGGCTCATAAAGTCGATTTCTTCCGACGTGTGGCGGACTCGATAGGCTAAGAAGCCTATTAACGCCACCGAGGCTGCGGCGAACGCGCTCATTATCAGTATCTGCGGGTTCATTGTTGTGGATTCTAGTCTGTTCAACTTAGATCATAGTCATCGCGGCGGAATCGGGAGAATTTGTTCGGGATTAGTTTGCCATCGGGTCTGCAAGGTTCTTTCAGGCTTCACCTGGAAAATTCCATACAATGCGTAATTGTTGGTCGAATATAGGCAATATTGAATCAAACATCGTTATAAAAGAATTGGGGATCTTTATGGAGAGGACGTTTCAATTATGAGAACATTTGATTAGATACTTAATGCAGGAAATGTCTGATAAATGCTGTGATTCTGCAATTGTGTCTAGTTAAGAGTTTGAGAAATTGTGACTTGAGAAACGTAAGTTTTCGGAATTTTTGTTCGGGAAATTCATGGTCTTTTCATTTTAGTGTGTACCTTATCGGAAAATACAAGAACTGGATCATTTTCATTACTAATTCGGCGACGGAATGTCTGACAATGTTTGACTGTTTTACGAAGATGTTATTCACTGTGTACTTCGAAGAAAATGTATATACGAACGTTAATTGTTGCATCCAAAGTGTGGGATATCAAATAAAGACGCGGATTTCCGGAGCCATTGCGCGTTAACGAACACTTCCGTAGGGTTTGAGGACTCCGAACGCGGAGCTTGTAACAGGTTATGGCAGTCGAAAGAACTTTCGGGAGAAGAGAAACGTCTCTCGCGGAACCGTTGTAAGAAGTTTCTAGATTGCGGAGCGTAATGACGATGATAGAATTCGGGTTTGTTGTTTGTCGAGGGTTCAGCAGCCTCGAGACAATCCAGACTTTAATCGCATTTTGATTTCCGCGAAGGATGAGAAGTAAACTTGGCCCAAGACATTTCCAAACTGCTGCATTCACGTCTCTCGGTAAATAAATCGGCAGCATTCATTATTTTATGCAATAGTGGTTCAATATATGCGAATTGTTGAAATTCAAGCTGAGAGATCGCGCTCTATTAAAGTGGCAATTAGGTTTCAACAAAATTATGATCGCGAATCGATCGAGGAATCCTGACTTTTGGCTTGGGGAAAATGAGTTTATTATCAGGGGATAATTGTAATAGATTTAAAATTTTATTTCTGTAGGAATTTTGAAACTTTCGAGGGCTCAAATTCAAGCTCGAGGATCACACACTATGATAGCGTCATTTTGGTTACGAAACAATTTCGAGGGTATGTCGAAAAATCCATAAATTCCGACCACTATTAACTGGCGAATTTTCAAACTTTCGTAAGCTAGAGGAACGTCTACTATGCTGCATTTAATGACATCTAAAAATAATTAAATTGAACTGTTATAAAAGGCAGACTAAATTCAGGACACTTTACTAATAAAAAATCACTAACGAAATAACAGGGAGAAGTAACAAGCGTGAATTACAGTCTCTGGATTCAGAATCTGATGTGACATTAAATAAATAAATTTCATAAAAAAACATGATTTCATCCAAGACACTGTAATCATTAATATAAAATAATAATAATAATAATAATAAATAATATAAAATATAAATATACTAACAAAATAATATACTATATAATATTATACTATAAATACTAATAAAATAATATAAAATATAAAATATACATTTTATATTTTCGACTAAAGCTTCATTTGTTATCAATACACTGCAGTTCTTTATACAAAATAAAATTTGTCTTGCCGATTACATGAAGGAGAAGTTATCTAATATAAATAAATCTATTTCTTCATCTAATGACGCTAATACAGTAGAAGTAAATTCTTCTTGTGCTCCATTGCTCCGTGTTTCGTTTATAAAATTTTTCACTAATATGTTCAATTCGTTCGCTATTTGTCGAATAGACGCACGTGGATCAACTTCAAAGCAACTCAAGTATAGCATATTCCTCGTTAGTAACAAGTTTTCACACATTCGGTAGTACAGCATTCTCTTCCCAATTGTCAAAATCTTGCAATGCCATGAATGTCGCGTGCTATTGCTACGCCTACGCGATTTATCGATTTTCTCGCTAAGCCGATGCGAAGGTTCGTCGGAGTCGGTCAAGCGTATGATGCGGCACGCGCCGCGGTTTCTTTGACTCGAATTCCCGGAAGACAACACAAAATGGTCTGTCTGGGGTGTGAGTCAGGTAAGAAAAACCGCGGAGCTAGAAGGTACGTGTTAGGTACAGTAAATTCTTCCCAATCATCCCTCAGCTTGTAAACGAAATGGACAACTTGGGAAGAGGGGATATATTCGAGTCTCGCGGCTCGTTTTTGTAGTTGTTGAGAGTCGGCAGCTATAAAAACGAGTCGCGTGCTCGAATAATCCTATACCCACTTCTCAAGTTGTTAACTTTTTGTTTAGAAGTTGAGGGGCGATTAAAGAGGATTTATTGTACTGGGTACGTGACTGTCGAATCGTGGCATCTGACTTACGAGTGACGGTCGAATAAAGGCTTCTGGCCTACGAATATCGGTCGAACGTACGCCCGAATAGCGTAACTCCGCTGATATTTTCTTTTGAACGACATACACACCTTCTTTGACGTTGCCTTTAATATTTGTCCAGTGCTCTTTTTGTTACAATTACAATCTGTGTAATGAAATAAAATAAGTTACTTGCTACGTATAATAAATAAATATGGTCTAAAGCATGTCGTGTTTGTTCTCATTTTAATTGGAAGAATTTCATTAATATATAAAAACGTGTCGTGTATACAAAATTAGAAATAAAAAAGGTAAGTCAAGGTTTTTACAATATATTTGTATTAATATACACCTGCATGCTGGCCACTGACTTTCAAGTTAGTCGATTGGCTCGAATTTTACAATTATAAAAACGAACGGCGAGGCTCGAATAATCGCGAGCGAGTGTCCGCCAATTACCGTTTTCAATTCCAAGCTTTAGGCCTTCTAGGGAGAATTTACTGTACTCCACGTATAGTTTTCTAAGAATCAATTTTTGTAGTTCCATCTGTAATAAGAAATTTAGAAGAACTTGACACGTAAGCACGTTCATGTGGAACAAAGCTAAATAACATTCATCTTATTTACTATGATATAAGGCATCATTATATACGAGTTATTCATTATGATTATTTTCAACTACAATTGGCTATTTTTCTCGATAATATGTTCTTTCTAAAGAATATAAAATGATTCTCCGATTAAATGTTATATAGCATTGTGTAAACCATACACTTAGAGATAGTGATAGTGTGATAGTAGTAATGATTAGGTATGCAGTATATAAACTCGACGACAAACTGACCTAGCATCAATCTTCTTCCGAACCGCAGCAACGAGAACTTCAGAACCTCAAGGTGAGTATCCAATTAACACATATCAATAGAATACTGTCAACATTATCTAACAAGTTGTCACTGTTTTGTACTGTGTAAGATGTTTCCCTGTAACTTGCGAAAATAATTCACTATATAAAGTGCAGATTTCTGTTGTAAATACCCTCCTATATTAAATTCTATCGTCATCTCTATATTTTTAATTCCTCAATCTTTTGGAATCAGAATGCATAATTTTATTATTAAATTGTACAGCACTACAATTGTTTCTTGACATTATAAAAGTAAATTACCTGTACAGTTCAAACTTATCCGACAATTAAACTTTTTCCTACTTAATTCCTGCGGATATTCTATTATTATGTCAGAAGCATCATTACAATTTCAATAATTGACAAATAAAAAATCTAAAGTAATTCCAGCCATAAACTGTCCGTATTAGATCCAAGAAAAGGATCAATATTGATCTGAAAAAAATAGATTTCAAAGTTTTCAAGGCAATGATCTGAATGGATCTAAACATAGCTGCGAGTAGTCATGAACACATTACTATATCAAATTTTGTTTTATAAATCTGTCAGGTATTGTGTTACTAAATATGTCACCTTATACAACCACTTTGCATCACATCCTTATTTCTCCCAACGTTTCATAAAACCAATTAAAGTGTCAATAAAAATTCTGCTCGCAGATGAAATTCGTAGTAGCAGCTTTGGTCGTTCTGGCAGCAGCCGGTCCCCTCGCAACCGCCTGGAAGGTGCCCCCAGCAGGCTCAGGTGCTCTCGCCAAGGAGCTCCAGGACTTCGTGGA